GTTTATTGATATTGTTATGAAACGAATTTATCTATTTAACATTGTAGCCTGAAATTACAGAAAGAAAATAGGATTTCCGGTTTGCAAAAAGGAAAATTTCGCCGGCCTTCAAGCGCACCGGAAGCGCGGAAAGAGCGCTCGTGCCAGTCCTACTCCGCATCACACATTAAATGAAGAGCGGAGCGCTCGTTTCACCGCCCAACCTTTATCCGCCCTGGGTTTAGACGAGTACGTGGGCCGGCTGCAACGCAGGCTACTCTTTCATTGTTTACCGTAAATGCTCCTTGCCAACTCCCTTCTATGAATTTGACATATCACTGCGCCCAACCGTCACGCTCACGTAAGAACTAGGCCAATCGTGACGCCCGTAAGAAACCCGCCTATAAGAAACGCTCACATACTCTGCTAGATATCAGAACGAGCTTTAATTCGCAGACGATCTCTACAAATGGTTTAGACGATGCGTGGCCGGCTGGAACGTAGGCTAAGGGATACTTAACGTCTAATTTCCTGTAATTTTGAGTTGGTCTTTCGGTTTTCTTTTGGTTTAAATTACGTCGTATTAAAGCCAAGATCGTGAAGAATCCTTTTCTTGCTTGATTTTGCTATCTTCGATTGGATGTTTCACGGCCAGTCAGTTCCAAAACTGGGTTTCAAATAGTCTTTTCACTACTTTCAGAAAAAGTCGTTGAAGGAGAGCGAAATGAGAAAGCCGGGCAATGTCACTTAAGGCTTTTACAGATGTCTGCCAACTGTCTTTATTTACAAGCGAGAGCCACGTGTAGAAACTTTGTGATTGTAGTGCGTAAGACGCCATTCAGTTCGTAACGCGCGCCGAACCTGGTGTGGACTGGTAAGAGTTTCCTTAGCGCGAGCGCGTCCCAACAGACACTATGCACTAAACCGCAACTAAAAGTGATAAAAGCCGCGTCAGAGTATGACGAGAAGGGATAAATTAAAGGGAAGAGATCTGCTTTGTTTAATCACGGTTCCCATCAGTATCCAAGTGCTTGTGTTGTCATTACCTCTCACCTGCCGTTCCTCTTATGAAATGGGGGAAACGAAACAACAACTGAAAATTAACATTTATTTTGAAAAGGTATTCTTAATTTAGAATATTATGCAATTGCCCAAGTCTCTTCCAACAAATTCATCTTGTCTTCTGAAATTTTCATGTTAATTATACTGAAGCATATTAACATAGTGAACCTTATCGTTTTCGTTTTAATCTTCGCTTTTTTCTAAAGAGCTATTTTTTACTCACATACTCGCCGGCAAAGGTATGTAAAACTGATGGTGGAATGGGGCGAGACGGAAACATCGTAGTTGGGAGACAAGAAGTGAACTTTGGTTTTCCCATAATATAATTACGCGTTAACATTTCTTTAACTTGTTCATGTATCGTGTTTTTTTCTGTGACTCCATATGACAAGAGCTACCCCTATGATCAGTATAGCCCCACCCGAACAACTGGCCGCGATTATCGCTGTCTTCTCTTTCTTGTCTGCCTCTTCGTTCTCATCGTCCTCGTTATCTGTTGAGAGAGAAAAACAATCAAAGAAGGCTGCTTTACTCTTCAACTACTGACCAGCTATGTCTGTTTTATTTTTCATCAGTTTCTATTAGCAAGTGATTGCAAAGCCGAAGTATTCAGTTTATTAGATAAAGAATCACTGAGAGTGGAGTCATCCACCTGCATTTGGGATCTGTGCGACTGTTAATTTCATTACTACCCTCCGCACAGCGCGCTAAACGCCGAATAAAGTACGCGACAACAGAATGGAGTGTGACTCGTGCTGGGTGCCTGATGGACAGTAAGGACCAGCGCTTTATTAACAAAACATACAAATTTTATCAAATACGTAGTGACAACATAGTCGGGATAACAATGCAGAAAAAATACATAACAATTACAATTCAATAATATTCAACAATAACTAACAAATAATCTAAGACTCAGTGTCAAAATTATTAATAAATCTATAATAAGATCTACCTGGACACGCGGACGTGAAGCAAAATGTGAAGAATGAAATATGAAATAGTGGAAATGAAAAACAACAATGAAAAGATCAAGACAAAACAAAGATTTAAGGCTAAGAGGAAAACCTAGGAAAAAACTGCATAGCAATGATGCACTGACGGGTACGAAAACCTGGAATAAAAAACCCAGTGGGACAAAAAAAAACCGGGAACGTACTCCTCGATTGAAAGCAGCGTATCGAGCTCCGAGGATTAGAGCTAAACTAAATTTAGTGATATTAAGTTCGGTAACAAACTAGCGGCCGCCGGTCCAAAAGACGAGATGGCTCATCCTCTGTGTAAAAATCTGTGAAACTCACGAGTGACGTAAAACAATGAATACAAAGAAGCGACTGAGAAGTCAACACAATAGAGCCAAGGAAAATAATAGCTAGAAAAGAATGAAAAACTTCACAGGTTTTTACACCGAGGTAAACCCCCCCAAAACGCTAATACATCGATATTTATACAAATATTCATAACACGTCAACAAACATAATTACGTAATCTTATTGTAGAAAACTACAAAAGGAAAGACTCTCACCGTCGTGAGAACAATGCTACGAACCGTAACACGATGTTACGTAACACGATGTTACATAAAAGCATTTGATAACTTGACTGAACTGGAACAAATTTAGTCAGCTTTTTTTCTCATAGTCGTATTTTATTGACTTGACTTGGTCAAGAGAATGATTTAGCTTATGATTTCTGTGCTTTGTATCGCTAATTTATTTTGTGCGTTCTTTCGATAACTGCTGGCCACTGCTTAAAAGAAATGTAATGTGGCCCAAACGGCCCCGAACCATTTAAATGCGCGTTGGTTATGTTTTTGAATCGGGTTTTTCGGCAGGAGTGATTTAACCGATTTCTATAATTTTTGGCGTCGTTAATAAAGAATGGTCGAACTTTAAGAAAATGCTATATATTTTCTTATAGGTATAAAAACGTTTGAGATATCGGCGTATGTTTAAAACCGCATTTTTACGAAAATTGTCAATAATTTCAAAACCCTAGGACAGATTTTTCCCTCACTTCGGCAAATAAGCCTCAGAGCTCTCTAGTTTTATATCTGCAAGTTTGAAGTCAATCGTGACCGTAGAACTCGCTGCACAAACAGCAGGTCAAATTTAGCCTTAAAATGCAACGCTTAAAGTCCTAAAACATTTGTAAAAGTTGACACACAAATAGAGGACAACTGCCGACAGACTATCTCCTATCTGCAAGGGTATTCTTGCCCAAAGCTTCAGTTGCAAGAAACTGAGTAATCAGAAAATTCGGGGCAAGATAAGAGAATTTCTGTTTATCAAACTTACTTTGTATTCTTTATTAAGGATGCCAAAAATCATGGAAATCGGTGAAATCATTCCTGCCGAAAAACATGATTCATAAACATAACCAACGCGCACTCGCATATAAATAGTTTCGGGCCACCTTAAGTTACATACTGGACTTTATTCCTGACTTGTTTAGGGTGTCCTCTTTGTCACATTTAGGTTTGGTACCTTTTAAAACTTTCTTTGTACTCAAGTGCGCGTTTGCTCGAGCCGAGGCCCCTGGTGGTATGGACTGAAACACTAAACCGGAAAATGTGGATTCACTGATACCGTTCAGTGAGACGTAAGTAAGGGAGGGAGAAAATTGTAAATACTACTTTACTCACTTGCTGAAGTGGTGATTGGAGGAGCGGTCGGTATGCTACTACCAGCAAGAGCTGTGATTGTTGATGAAGGTTTTAAATAAGACGTCTGATAATGAATGATTGTTGAATTAGGGGAATACGTGGACGCAGCAGAAGCGTTAAGACTTGCTGTTTGGTTTAGAGCAACAATACTTTGCGAAGGGCTAAGTAAAGTAGATTGTCCTGGAGAGAATAAAGAACAAAAACAGAGTCTGAATTAATTTTTCAAGGTTCCTTGTAGATTTATCAGGGGTTCTTGGATTCTGTTTTTTTAGTAGCGACAGTAGCAACCCAGGCCAGTCTGGGTAGTCTGGCCATTTTACACCAGGGCGGATAAAGGTTGGGCGGTGAAACGAGCGCTCCGCTCTTCATTTAATGTGTGATGCGGAGTAGGACTGGCACGAGCGCTCTTTCCGCGCTTCCGGTGCGCTTGAAGGCCGGCGAAATTTTCCTTTTTGCAAACCGGAAATCCTATTTTCTTTCTGTAATTTCAGGCTACAATGTTAAATAGATAAATTCGTGTCATAACAATATCAATAAACAGTTTCATATGTTTGTGTCTGTACGTCTAAAAGTCAAACTTGTTGGTCGTATAATGCCAAAATTTGAGTTTTATTTGAAAGTGTTGAATACCTCCCCATTCCACTAAATATCACCTAATCGTCTTTCACCGTTTCGTTTGCAAAAGCTTAACACTTCTTAACCTCAATTTTTACATATGTTAAAGGGGGATAAATTTTATATAACATAACAAAAAATTAGATTGATATATATTGATATAGTGGCGTTGTACTTGTTCAAACTTTGCTTCTCGGGTGCAACGCGCCATGGCGATTCGCGCAATGCGTTGCAAATCCGGCAACCGCATGTAAACAAAATTTATTGAGGTTAGTTGTAAGGTTTTTTCTCCGTTTTTCTCTCTAAAACAAAACAAGGTAAACACTAAAAACTGAGGGGAAACTAATTTTGAAGTTTCGAAGTAACAGAAAGACGTATGAGATGTTTTTTTCAAAATTAAAAAGAAGGATGATGGTGATTGAAATTAGCATAATTTCACCTTGCACGAGCTGCACGCATTTATAAAATACACGTCATCTACTGCTGTCTTTTAGTTTTGCTAGGGATGACATGGACGAGATTTTCCTTTGTGTTTTAGACAGTACTTAGTTGTTTTTGTTTTGGAATAACATCGACATTGGCGAGTAGCAGAACGAAAATATAATTCAGTGGTAGAGTCATGGAAGTAATAAAAGAAACCCTTTGAAAGAGATGTTTGTCTACTCCAACTAAACCTCCCGCAAAAAAATAGCAACATTTGCCTCTCGGAGGCAGCGTACCAGCACAAAGTAACGAGGAAGAAGTGCAAGAAAACAAATCAAGCTGCCATAATTCAGTGACAGCAGCAGTGTCTAATGTACAAACCACATCGCAAGCCCTGACCGAAGTCGAAAACAAGCGACATTTCTAAGCAGTGTCCCAGTCCACTGCATCACACCTTTTTGCTCGGACGCGCTCGTTTCACCGCCCAACCTTTATCCGCCCTGTTTTACACTGATCGACAGAAAAAAATGCCCCCGCCTGTAAAGGATAAATATACGTACGGGCTGGGCGACTACCACGTCAGGAGAATGGCGATATACGGGGCTCCTGTATTTTACCGATTCTAACTTAGTTACTTGACTACACAAAGTGAAATATTTTCTCACATACCTGCTATTAAACCAATACAAGAGACAAGAACATTAATAACAGCTATGGGAAGTGCCATCCTGAGTTTAATCTGTTAAACGGATAGGCAGGAGAAGAAGTTCAGAATAACAGTTTGAGGTTCAATAATTGGCTGGCTTTTAATCTGTCACATCTAGGAATAGTCCTTCATTTTTCTGAGAAGGAGTTTTTCTTGCCGCGCTTGCGCTATATATGCCCGACTGATCTCCAGAATCTCTTCACAAGGAGCGACATGTTGTCACAGGAGAAATACAATTTACACTGACACGCTCATCACACTTAGCTACTCTGACATAAATGCAGCTTGTCCATCCCCACAAATAAAAAATAGATCCGAATACATCCGCCAACTAGGTATATAAAATTCTTTTTTGATTTAATGCGCTGAGCTCAGCAGATCTATTCGATCAACGGTGACAACATAAACGCTTACAAAGGTGAAGTCACTTGCCATTCTGCATTCTCAATGAAATGCGGCCTGGAATACATAATCTGATAAAATCCATAGAAGAAGCGCATTTTTTATTTTCTTGGTTTTTTTTCTCGAACTCCTCGAGGGATCTTTGTTGCTTCTTGTATCAAATCTCTTTGGTTACGTAACAAACGGGTGAATTTATCGCCGGGGTGAAATTTCAGAAATTTCTCCGCTTAATATTTCATATGCCATCTTCAACTCATAGACCAGCTTGTTTCATGTCCTATCATAGATAGTAATTCATTAGAAACAATTCTGCTTTGCTAACAGGAGGCTGAGTGATTTAAAAAATGGGTCACGCGAATGACGACATCATTGAACCTGGTTTCAGAGCCGGTTTTCTTTCTTCTTTCTCCTCATACAGATCTGAACCACCAATAGTGTATGCTGAGTATATATGGACCTATATGGAGGGCCACAGCTCCCTGACAGGAGTTCTTTATGTTTCGGTGTTATCGAAATAAATGAACTGGCCGGCTCTTCGGGCAATCTTAAATTTGTGATATAGATTAACGTATTCACAAGTTCAGCATAACATGTACAGCTCACTATTCCGCGGAAATTAAGTTATTTCCAGAGCTAAAATAACCCAGAGCGAGAGAGACGAGAGGCAAACGTAGATACTAAACTGGCAGAAATCAAATAGCAACCATAAAGTAACCCGAATTCAGTGATGTACATCAGTCGTTTCGTTTTAGGAAGCTTGAGTGGCCTTATTAGCCTCAGCTGTTGTAGCTTTCATGATAAAATTACGCTCGACACTTTTCGGTTGTATTGTGATATTGGAGAAATTGGAATGAGTTTGTTTTAACTGAGTAAACATGTACTGGGTTTACCTTAGTGGCTTTGATCAGCGTCGTCAGTCTTGATGACAGAATTCTCTTAAATAAGGTAAGTTAGCTTGCTTTTGCTCGTCTTTTGAATTTGCATATAAAAAATGAATATTTAATATGTTTTTCTATTATGGGAAATAAAGCACCCGCTAATTCATCCATAAAAGCATCATTGTTAAGTGTCATTGTTCCATGCACATAGTATAAAGTATAAAGGGGTCAGTTGCCACCCAAGCCCCGTCCACACGTATCCCTTTTTATTTGAAAACGGATTTTTTTTTTGCCCGGTTTGGCCTAGCTACCGTCCACACGTATTCCGAGAAAACGCTCACCAGAGTGAGGATTTCTGAAAACGCTGGCTTCTCGTTTACTTGTGGCCGGACAAAACGGAGGTTTTCGAATGCGATGTGTACCCATTCTTGTCCCCAGAGCCACTCGGCTTAATTTGTAATCGACCCCTCGTTTCCCGACCACGTGACCAAGAAACGACGGGCTCTGGGGACGAGAATGGATGTGTACCACATTTACCACTACTATTACGCATGCTCCGTGAGGGATGCTATCGTATTTTCATTGTTCAGCGTTTTCGCATGGACGGGCGAAAGCGATTCGAATAAGCTATGTGTGGACACGTATTTCTTTAAAAAACGGAGGGAAAAAAATATACGTTTGCAAATATATCTGGATACGTGTGGTCTGGGCCTCAGTCATTCCTATTGCTGGTTTTCAGTGTCACGCCATTCAAAATAGATCAAAATAAAAATCAAAACCGTTCAATAGATAAAGCCCAGAATCTGGGAAATGAAAGGTGGTATATATACAAAGACCCTCGCCAAGATTCAGGTCAGAGGATTATTTCGTATACGAGATATCCGAAGAAATGTTTTACCCAAACGTATGGAGACGCCATGCTCGCCTGGATGAGCTCCAACATGGCGGATGGAAACTAACAGAAACATCTGTTACCGAGTTTTGCTACAAAAGCGTGAATTTATTCTTCGAGAAACTCATAAACATTAAAGTAATACTTTCTCTAATACATGAACTGTTTAGACAGCAAAATTTTCTGAAATAAGTCATTTTTTTAACCTACATGACAGCCCTCTTGGCCGTCATGTAAATGCCGCGTCACAGAAAATTTGTATGAAAATTAGTTTTCAGCTGCTCTAATGCATCGTGAAAGTAAAATCTCGGTAGGATCGATAGTTTTTTAGTTTGAATTTTAGTGACGTCATGATAAAAAAAACGAGGCTAAACTTATAAATAAATGAGGTAGCAGATTATTTTCCTCTTTGATGTGTCGAGAGAGGAGGAAGATCACTGTTGGCTTCATAGTTTTGGCTATCTCCACCATTTATTCAAAGTGTTGATACATTAGTAAGTGTACTTATGAGAATACTTTCACTTCAACTGTAAAGACTGCTCCTACTGGACATGAGAAATTGAAACTCACATTTCTTGTTAGTGTTCCGAGACACCAAATAATAGTACAGGTCTTTAAATGACTACTAATTAACTCCGGCCGCAAAGTCCCCCAGAATTGCAGAGGGCTCTACAAGGCATCTCTGCTATAATGTTTTACATCTTCTAGCACACCCTTTCTCGCTCTTTAGGAGTTCTTGACAGCCCTCTGATGCTTGAGAGATGGTTGTCCATAATAGTTCCCATCCTTGAAAAGGTCTTCTTACCCAACCTCATTCGCTTGGAGACGGAAGTTATTGTAATACTTCCAGGCACCTGCCCCAACAATAGGGACTTTAAGATCCAAAGACGCGACAGCAACGAGAGCGTCGCTTAAAAAGTGAATTTGCGTCCTTTCAGTCTTTATCGCGATTATTCCCACCCACTTACTTTGTCAAATGTAGGCGAACCCTCCTGAAGTTGAATTCCAAGGGACCATGTCCAAGTTCAGAAAGAGAAATAAAATTTCGTCGTTCCTTGTTTACTTACTCCATAAAACGCGAAATTAGGCATTTTCACGTCGTAGTCGTGCAAAAACGGCAAGGAAATGTGTGATGCACGTGCAAAGTTGTTGTTTTGCTTATTAAACCTATTGTTTTTTTTTGACGTTCTCGTTGCTGCCGCGTCGTTGGTCTTAAAGTCCCTAATGTCCAGCTAGGAACGGTGTTCTCTTAGCATGCTGACACAAGGCATCCCCTGTCAGAGGAATGTGATCTATGTCCCTTTCTTTGTGCGTGAAGAGGTCCTTGCGCCCGTCATTAGTGACCTTAAGATACACCGTTTCAGCCTACGGGTACGGGTGAGGGAACACGTTTACCTCGTAGTTTTATAAAAGGCAACCACTATTTCCCAGATGTAATAATGGAGTAACCATTCTACCCGGTAGCCTACCAGTTTTTCCCGGGTAAGAGGCAATCTACCCTCATTTACGGCTACATATACGTGTACAGCTAATTTATCCGTACCCGTACACGGAAATGGTGTATCTTTACCGGCTTTGCGCGATCGTAGAGCATCAGGAACAGCTGACATGTGACATGTCAATTTTATTGACCTATTAAAAAGCTTATTCCCGTACTGTTTTTAGACTACTGTACACTTAAAGTGTACTTGTGGCGAGAGAAAGAGTTTCATGTACTGAAGAAAAATTTTAAGGTTTTTCATTTACTGTACGCGATATATATACATTCCGGTTGTTATTAATGAGAAAAGTAAGGTAGACTACGAGTAGTCCCCCATTTTTCCTCAGGGATAGTAGAGCGAGCGAAACGCGAGCGCGCGTGAAAATCACTCCACGCGAGAAAAGGCGACACGCGGCGTGGAGAGAGAAAAATGATTTTCTCTCTCCCCGCCGCGTGTCGTCTTTTCTCGCGTGGAGTGATTTTCACGCGCGCTTGCGCTTCGCTCGCTCTACTATCCCTGAGGAAAAATGGGGGACTACTCGTAGTCTAACAGTAAGGTGAAAGTGAAATACGGTCATTATGGCCCTCAAGTCATGAAATTTGAGTCTACCCCGGTGATACGGCTAATTTTTTTGGCCCATTAGCGACCGTATTAACCGGGTTCCACTGTATAGGAAAATTTAAGGAAGCTGCGAAGACAAAAGCAACTTTGTGACTTTAAGACATTTTTGACAATCAAGCCTTGCTTCTTGAGGGAATTAAACGGGTCCAAAACATTGGGAAAACTCGGGCTGCTTTCTCTATAATAATATCTTCTTTCCTTTCATTCTTTTGAGCTTGTATATGAATCACATTTCTGGAAAAATATTTACGAAGCTGTGAAAAGTTACTTACAGAGCTGTAAAACTGCAAAGGATACTGGTCCATTTTCCAGTATTACTGGAAAATGTTACCTGACCCGATTGTACACAGCCTTCCCAGCAAGTAACAATGTAACAATGTACAAAATTGGTGCCATATAGAACTTAATATTATCTCATTTTATGGCAATGTTCATTCCAAACTGAGCCTTGTTTCCATGCTCACGTGACCCTTCTTAACTTTTTAAATCTGCAGGGGTTTTGTTACCCTTTTAATTTTTTTCGTGTGTATTGTCTTACGATTGTAAAAATAGGCGATGCTACAAATGTTCTTTACTAGCCTCGTTTTCATGCTGATAGGTCACGTGACCGTTTTTAATCCGACAGATTCATTTTTTTCACTTCCCCTTTGATTTTATTGGTTTTTACTATTTAACATGCATAAATTTAGAGTTAATTAAGAATAGTTTGTGGCAGCCTCGTTTCCATGCTTCAATCGTGGTGCAAGA